TTACAAACAAACAAACATACAACAAACAACAATAATAACAATGAATGTTTTTTTTGTGTGAAAAGTTTGTTCTTCGATTTAGCACAAAGCACCACTAGGATATCGGCGCTCTAGCCATTACGTGGAATCGAACCCATGATTTTAACGTTCTAAGTCCGTAAACTGGCAACTGAACTGCTGTGGGACAGGCACGAAAAGCAGTTATTTGGAATTAAGAACAACAAAAATCATTTATCGATGGTTTTTCGATATTTTTACATTGGGTTCTCAGAAAACATTATTACCAAATTAACACTCGCCACACGAGCCAGCCCGACATCTTGATGTGGAACCGAAAACGCGAGTCATTCCGAAAAGGTCTGGGCTGTTTTGATTAGACAAAAAAGAAGACGTTTGACACAATTTTTGAGGTCTAGGTCGCTGGACTATACCCTTGACTTGACCCGAGACCATGGGAGCCAACATGGAGAAGTTAACTTGTAAATGTAAAGTAAAACGATGTAATAATGAAACATGTTTGAAATGTTCTAGATGTGGTTGTGCATGTGAAGATTTAAGTGAAACATACTTGAAATGTACTAGATGTGGTTGTGAATGTGAAGGTTTAAGTGAAACATACTTGAAATGTACTAGATGTGGTTGTGAATGTGAAGATTTAAGTGAAACACGATGGAAATGTTCTAGATGTGGTTGTGAATGTGATGGTTTAAATGAAACATACTTGAAATGTTCTAGATGTGATTGTGAATTTGAAGGTTTAAGTGAAATATACTTGAAATGTTCTAGGTGTGGTTGTGAATGTGATGGTTTAAGTGTAGTGATTAACCTAAACTGTGGGTCCAGGTTGGATGAGGGAAGAACTTATTCGTAGATATCTAAATCAATGTGACAAACCACCTGAATCGGAGATTCATCAATGGATTACTGAATTGACAGTGTAACATAAAACAACATGCACAATAGTATCGTTACCTTCGAAAAGGGTGATTGGAATCATGTATAAAAATCAATAGTTTCAATATTTTGTGAAACTAACAGCACAGTAAATCCCAAAGATGCAGTGTTGAAGCTGAAGTAGATGCACGATGCATTACAAGATGATTTCCTTAGTGATTCTCAAATTGAAAATGTCACTTCTGCAATGATGAGTAAATATAAGTTGGATGGAATGGTACCACCATAGTATAATCCATATAGATTTCACCATGTCATATTTTCATTAATAACTAGTTTGTTTTCGTTTTAGAAGTTGTGGCGAGCTTCGTTCATCGAAATCTCTCGAAATAACCATAAATTACGGGTTTCCCACCTGACCCTTCCCTCCCATGTTGACCCACCTAGGATCAGTTATAAAAGATGCTGGGCTGGCTTGTGTGGCACGAGGTAAAATAATGATCTACTAACGTTTCTTTCTTTCTTTTTTCCCTAAGTTTTGTTTTGTTTCTCATTTGTGTAATATTGGATTGGAAGTCTTTTTCCACATTTAATATGCTCATCCACAATGACAGTACTGTGTGTATTTTGAGAAACTTTTACCAACTGTTTTTTCAGTACG